CGAAGAACAAGGGAGGAGAGAGGAATCACGAGGGTGCAGCTCTTTAGAATGCTGTGCGGATCTGAAAAGAGAACCTATTCGTGCTCATGTAGACCAAGCTAAATCCTCTCCTCACTCCCTCTATTCTTTATCAGATACAAAATTTACAAACGTTTGGTGTGAAACCTAAGATTTTAAAGAAAAGTAAGGTTTGGGGATCTCTTTGTCCTGAACTCACAGACCCCAGAAAGGAACTTTCTGATGATTTCCTTCCTCGGAGGGATTTCAGTGGAAATCTACCGCTGTGTATGTTGTGATAAAAATCGATTGAAATTATTCAGGAGTAACTGCATAGTGTGATTTTTTTAAATTTTAACTGAGTAAGGAAAGCATATGCTTGTTTTACAACATATGTGAACATATATTTAAGTGCAAACAAATTAAAAACATTAGTGTAACATCGCCTGAATGTCACTTTAGTTAACATTTTAATGGTATCTTCTATTACTGTTGCTATTGTTTAATTACTTGCTATAGATTAATGCATTTGAAGTAGAGTTTTTAATTCCTCAAGATTAATGCATTTGAGGTGGAGTTTTTAATTCCTCATTGTTGAGAAATTTCATTTCTCCTCTACCCACTCCATTTTTTTTTTTGTTAGTGGTGGTGGAGAGTGAGTAAAACTCAGGCTAAAAACAAATTTTTCCTGGGAGTCACTATCCTAGTTTTACAGTGATGATCCCAGTGTTGACAATGATTTCTGATTCTGAAAAATAAAATTTTTATAAAACAAATGTACCAAGTCTGTCCAGGAAAAGTCCAGCCATTGTTAATATAATGAGAACTATTTGCACTACATCGATTTAACCTGGCACCCAAGGAGAATGGACTGGAATGAACATGCATGAGCAATGACGACTTCACTGTAGTAGTTAGTGGAAGCAGTAGCCACCATTGAGAGAGCATACGTACTTTGGCTGCGGCATTCAAAATGAGTGAGCAGAGCTACAAATCTGCATCACATTTTTTTGTTAAGCTTGGACATTCCTTCCTGGAAACTGTTTGGACTACTCAGAAGGCTTCCAGGGACAGATGATGCAATGAGTACAGTACAAATAAAACTATGGCACAAATAGTTCAAAGATGGTCAAGAATCTGTTGAAAGTGATCCACGTTCTGAAAGGCCTGCAACTAGCAGAATACCTGAGAATGTTGAATGTGTATGGGCTGCAATCAACAAAGATCGGCAACTGACATGTGAGAACTAGAAATTGATCAGGGGATTCCAAAAACTACTATGTCTCAGATTTTGACACAGGATCTTGGCATGAAAATGTGGAAAAATTCGTTCTGTGACTTCCACTACCAGAGCAGAAGAAACATGGTACTGCAGTTGCTAATGACGTGATTCAGACCACTGCCAATGAACCAAATTTCTTTAAAAAGGTCATAACCTGAGTTGAACAGTGGGTCTATGGCTATGACCTTGAAATGAAGGCCCAGTCGTCCTATTCCTCCACACCCCCAAAGAAGGCAGGCAAAATTGCAGCCAGGTTAAGACCATGTGAACTGTTTTTTAATTGGGAAGGCGTTGTCCATCACAAGTATGCTCCTCCAGGCCAAACAGTTAACAAGGAGTACTACCTCAATGTTCTTGGTCAGATGAGAGATGCAATACATAAAAAATGGCCCCAGCTATGGGCAGCCGGTGATTGGCAGCTTCATCACCACAACGCCCCCGCTGGCTCATGCATCACCTCTCCTGCAGAGTTTTTTAGCGAAACATCAAATCACCTAGGTGACTCAGCACCCCTACAACCCAGATTTGGCACCCTGTGACTTCTTACTTTTCCCAAACCTAAAATTACCTTTGAAAGGGAAGAGATTTCAGACCATCAGTGAGATTCAGGAAAATAAGATGGAGCAGCTGATGGCAATTCCAAAACGGATTTTGCAAAGTGTTTTGAACAGTAGAAGAGACGCTGGGAGAAAGAACTGTGTGAGGTCCCAAGGCGCCTTGTTTGAAGGGGACTGAGGTGTCATTGTCCTATGTACAATGTTTTTGTATCTTGTTTCTTCAATAAATGTCTCTATTTTTCATATTACATGGCTGGGTATCTTCTGGATAGACTTCATATATCGCAAAAACTCCAGCATAACAAGACAAAGGAGCCCTGGCTGGTCTAGCTCAATAGACTGAGTGTGGGCTGTGAAATAAAGAGTCACCAGTTTAGTTCCCAGTCAGGGCACATGCCTAGGTTTCAGGCCAGGTCCCCAGTGGGTGCCACATGAGAGGCAACCACACATTGATCTTCCTCTTCCTCTCTTTCTCCCTCCCTTCCCCTCTCTCTAAAAATAAATAAATAAAATCTTTAAAAGAAGGCAAAGGAAAGTAACTCTACTGGGAACTTCACAAACATCACAAGTAAAGTTTCCAGAAACTATGCTAATATGATAAATTTTACACACTTTAAAATAAGATATAAAAGTAAAACAAAGGTGCCTAAAACATGAAGTTATCAGCTGTGGCTGGTGTAGCTCAGTGGATTGAGCGCGGGCTGAGAACAAAAGTGTCGCAGGTTCGATTCCCAGTCAGGGTACATGACTGGGTTGCAGGCCATGACCCCCAGCAACCACACATTGATGTTTCTCTCTCTCTCTTTCTCCCTCCCTTACCTCTAAAAATAAAAATAAATAAAATCTTTTTAAAAACCATGAAGTTATCTGGGACTTGAAGTATGGAGAGAATTTGAAACTAAAGAGTTTGAGTGTTTGTAGAATGAGTCTGTTAAAAATAATGTTTGCCTGATTCATAAGTTGATATCTCTAAAATATCACCAGCAGCTTGGAAACTCTTGAGTTTCGCCATGGAGCTCTGGAATATGTTAGAAGAGACCTTATTTGTTTAAATACAAAACCAAAAAAGAAAGTTGGATGATTAGCTCTAATTTTTTTAATATAGGGAGGATAAGAATATAGAGGAAAAGGAGCATGCTTTTGGTTTAGAACCCTAATCAAAAAAGTTTTACTATTAACAGGCTTAATTCACTTTATTTTTCCTATGTAAAATCATATAGTGGCCACAGCTGGAGCCTGGGTCCTCTGCACAGAAATTCTGGTGTGGATTTTTACAAAATGGTCAGTGAATTCCTGATAGAGAGACTTCATGAGCAGTCTCTTTCCAGAGGTCAGAGATGAGATAGTTGTAAGTCTTAGAGATGGCATCAAAGGTGGCCTTGGCGAAGTTTGGAGTGGCAGCGCAGCTCTTAACTGAGGTGTACCAGTCATCAATACCATCCATCAGCAGCAGCTTTTTAGGCACAGGGGATGAGATGATGCCAGTGCCCCTGCAGGGATGAGGCACACCAGCACACAGCCACAGTGCCTTCTCACCTTGCAAGGGACAGCAACGGGGGTTGCCAGTCTTGTTCCCCCAGTAGCCTCACTGCACAGGGACAATAGAGAGCTTGGCCAGGATGATAGCTCCACAGATGGCAGTGGCTACTTCCTTTGAGCACTTAACACCCAGACCAACATGTTCCTTGTAGTCCCCATTTGTGACAAATGCCTTGAACTGGGTCCTCTGGTCTGTGGATGCCTTCTTTTGCTTGGGCATAATCTTCAAAACTTAGTCCTTGAGGGATGCCCCCAAGAAAAAGAAAAAGTCAATGATCTCAGATTCTTTGATGGGCAAGGAGAATAGAGAGATCTCCTTTAGGGACTTGATCTTCATGTCCTTGATCAGGTGGCCCAACTTGGTGACGGAGATCCATTCCTTGTCCTCCATGAGCTCAGTGGCTCACGAAGCCTGGCTGCAACCTCGGCCCTGGATGCAGCTGCCAAATCCTTGAGGGAAGCCTGCTGCAGCCTCCCATGATTCCAGGGTCCCAGGAACTCCTGCCCCCACCACCAGCGCCAGTCATCCACCATTCCGTGTTTCCTTGCAAAAGAAGAGCCCTAATCAAATTTGTGTTTAATATAGAAATACTTAGTTGACAGAAAAAAATATAAACTACTAAATTAAATTTAATGTCTCTTCAAATGGATTTAAGCACCCTACACAAATTTTCATTTAATAGATTTATTTCTTTTTTTGAATTGCATTGCCATTATGATTTAAATACTTAAATGTTAGGTTACTGTTCAGCCTTTAACACTAATATAATAAAATATAATTAAAACATTTAAAGCCAGTTAAATGAGAAAGGACTTCTTTGGGTAAGCATAGTAATAATGTCAAAGGTTTCCCAGTTTTTATTTTTAAAAAATACATTGTTCTCTTGCACTGCAATAGTTTTTCTTTCTTCTTTGGGGCTGTAATTTGGTTTTATTTACAGTTTCCCGTTTTCACTTCCTCCAGGACAAAATAAACAACCATAGTGTACCTCAGTATGGATCCTTGGTTTGGACAAATTAAGTAATATGTGCTTAATATAGAATGTTACTAAAATAAGTAAACTCCTTTTCATACAGTCACTATTGTCCAGCTAATATAATTTTTTAAAATGGTTATCCTAAAAAAAGAATTGTCTACCACCACCACCCACCATGCAACAACACTCAAACTGAAAGGTTGCTCTGATTATGGACACTTTGGTGATGGCTTTGTTTCAAAGATGGTCTAGGACTCAGATGAGATCCAAGACCTCTTCACTTTTTAACAAGGGCTCGGATACACAGCAGTGAACCATACATCCCTGCGTTTTACATAGTTTTATATCAAAATGAGGGGGAAATACAGGAGGTTAGGCAAGTGTGTTCCTCAGTCTGCTGCTGTTTTTATGCCTCCAGCAGTGTTCTATGTGTGGCTGAAATTCTGCAAAAGATTGGAGAATATAATGGGAATTCTGCATGTACACAAAAATGGAATGAGTAGAAAAACTGGCTAAGAAAGTCAGTAACTGAAAGCAAATAAAGAGTAATCAGACCTCTGTGGTTTTTACAACCACTGTCTGCACAGGGCAGCGGCTTCACAAATTTCTCTCATTAATCCTGCCTCTAACGCCTGGTCCCTCCGGCAGGTCATGATGATGGGCAGCACTCGCGTGGCGAAGCTGCTGCTGCGCTACGGCGCGGACCCCAACTGCGCAGACCCCACCACTCTCGCGACACCGGTGCACGACGCCGCCCGGGAGGGCTTCCTGGACACGCTGGTGGTGCTGCACCGAGCCGGGGCGCAGCTGGACGTGCGCGACGCCAGGGGCCGCCTGCCCGTGGACCTGGCTGAAGAGGGAGACCACCTGGACGTCGCCCGGTACCTGCGCGCGGCAGCAGCGGGCGAGGAAGGCGATAGCCACAGGGCTACGGATGCCGCGGAAGATCATGCAGGTGAGGGGGCCGATCTAAAAATTAGAACTCAGAGAGCCTCCTCAGCCCAGCGCGCTCCCTTTCGGAAGAGAACTTTGGCTCCGGGAGAGCAGAGCCTGGGCCTCGTCTCAGCTCGCTGCCAAGCCAGCGGGGACAACGCCCGCATCGCAATCGCTCTGCCTAGCCAGATGGGAAATGGCCTCTGACGGACTTTCGCACGTCAAAGCCCATCCCATCAGCCCTGCCCCCTACTCCCCAAACACTCATCCTCCCCGCAGCTCAAGGCGTAAACCTAGAACACTGACTCGACAATAGAAGTGTAGTGGCCGCATCCATTCAGGCGCCCTTAGTTTCTCCATTAGGATACTTCGGTTCCTAAACCAACCTTGGGACTTCCAAAACCAGTTAGGCACCGCACCATCCGGCAGAGATCTGTCATTCCTGTGTCCGTTGCAAAATTCTAAGTCTCCCCCTCGAGGGGCCTCTGGGGGTGTGGTGTCTGGAATAGAGACCTCTCTGACCCTTGCTGTCTGCACACCGGGATTTGTTGCACGTTCGGGGAAAGGGACCCTTTCTTGAGCTTTTCCCTCTCTTAAGCTTTCCGGTTTTGCGAGAGATCACTGAGAGGGAGATGGATATGTGGTTCTTACTCTCGTCTCATCCTATCACCACAGAGACTTTTCCCGTGGCTCCATTTCCCCACCTCCATTCCTGCCTACCTCCTTTGCCAACTTTAATTTTTTTCTGAAGGGGGAACCTTTTTATCAAAATACATATAAGCAATATATGAAGTTTGCACGAAAATTTAAGGTAAACATTGACTTTAAAGACACTGAGATCTATTCTTTGGGCTCAGAACTGGGGCACTGGGCTCACTGGGCCTTAGGGGAGCCGGGGACAGACAGGAGAGGCTCGCTCTGGGCCCTGGGCTGGGAGATGCCTGAAGTGCAGCGCCTCGGGTGCGGGGACGGGGTGGGGGTGGGGTACAAAAGTCTCCTTTAGCCTGCCTACCCTCTCGCTTCTCCAACTGAAGCTTGTGTCCCACGGTCAGACCGAGACAGGCATAGGATGAGAGGCCAATCACAGGAGGAAGAATTGGGAGAAGTGGCGGAACAGAAATAGATGTTGAATTGAACACCAAGAAAATGAAAATTGAGTAGCACTTTATAATTAAACATAAGATTTCTAAACCAAGCATGGAAGCCCCTCCTTCATTACTTACTTTTTCCCTTCCTTCCCTCCCTCCCTTTAACTGAGAACCTACTATATGATTTGGCTAGGACACAAAACTGAAGGATAGAAAACAGGAGTCCTGCCCTCACAGAGCTTGCATTCTGGGAAATAAATTTCAAATACCATAACAATGTATTTTTAAGAGTGCGGATCTCTAAAACCAATGTGATGGTTGAGAATGAAGTGGGAATAGGAGAGGAGGCTATCTTAGCGTGGTCCGAGAACCTGACGGGTGACCAGAAAGTAGCCATTGGAAGCACAGAAACTCTCGAGAGTGAAGACTGCGGAAAGGAATGGCGGGTCAAGAGGATCGACAGGTGGTTAGGAACGTGGACACAAGAAGATCAGGGAAGAGGGCAGGGGCCAGATCATGTAGGGGCCTTGTAGAGTAAAGAAAGGATAATTGGTCAAAATGCGGATTTTGTCCTAGAAACGTTAGGAAGCCATTAGCTGATTTGGGAGAGGGACCTGGGGAGGAAGACGCCAGGACTGTAACCGAGGGTTCTCAGACTGCCGAGCTGCGCCTGATCGGGTGTCTGATTCCGCGAGTTCGCTGAGTCACTGGTCAGCGTCAGGTGCAGGCGATGTTTGAGGACGCACAAGGCCGAAACGACGTCTTCATTTTCCGGTGCCTGACGTGGTGTGTGGCAAGCACTCAACACCCGTTATATATATACAGGTTTCCCTCTCCCAGTCCGCGCGGGCCCGCCCATGCTTTCCTTGCCCTCGCCCTGGCGGGCCCGCTCTCGGAGGCCGCCAACGAGCCGGAAGAGTCCAGGCGGGCAGTGGCCGCGCTGCGAGATCCGGAGGCCTGGGCGGGGAGGAGGGGAGGTGCGGCGGCTGCTGGCCGGGCTCAGATGCAGTGAGCAGACCGAGTGCGGAGAGTTGTCCACGCAGGCGAAGCTATCCTTGTCCCTATGGGTCTGAATACCTGGTTCGAGTCGTGGAGGTGGGGCGGGGGGCGGGGGCAGGAGGAATGGGTTGCACATCTTTGATTTCTGGTTTCTAACGTCTTTTTCCTTTTCTGCCTTTTGTAGATCCCGACCTCCACAATTAGTAACAAGAATAAGACCACCCTGACCTGCGTAGCTCTGTGGTTTGCACAACATTCCGCAGAGTGGATGGAAGGCGGCCACACGTCGTTGGTTTGATTCGGGTCAGGGTACACGGTCGGGATCCAAAATTAAATAAAAAAATATTTTTAAAAAAAAGCCAGAACACCTTTGGGCTCTCTTGATCTTCTGTTGCTTCGTCTTCGATAAATTTCCATTTATATCTCAATCTAGGTATTGTTACAAAAGGTAAAACAACAACAACAACACTGTGCCTGCCTTTTTATTGGTTTGGAGTTTTCAGGAGCCAGTATGAAGGCCCAGAGAACAAACACTTTTATATTGGTGCTTCCTTTTACGTGCCTGGCAACCTGGATAGATGAAACTGGGTAAAAAGTGATGAGTAGAAACCTTCCATCAATTTGAAGAGAGACCTCAGAATGACAGACTCTCAGAGCCTGTTTGACCTTCTGCTTGGCCTTCCCACATCCAGGATTCGAGACCCCCTCTTCACCACAACCCACCAGGTTGGGGCATTTTGCCTAAGGTGCCACAGCCAGCAGGGGCTCAGGAACACAGAGTCTGGCTCTGCAGCCCACTGGGGACCTTCATGAGTGGTGACTCAATGCCTGGCCCAGCGCTCTGGGCCTGCCAGCAGTGACTCCAGCTCCTGCTGCTGTGAAGTTGGTGCTGCCCACCCAAACCAAAAGAAGTTCCTACCCCTCTGCCACAGCAGGGATGCTGCAGGGACTGACTTCAACTTCAACTGGGTGTGCACCTGGTTATTTATTGTTTATTAAGGTGCAATTCACATAACATCAAACTAATGATTTTAAAGTAACAATTCTGTGGCATTTAGAACACTCGTAATGTTCACCATTTATCTAGTTTCAAAACACATTCATCACCTCCAAAGGAGACCCCATATTCAGCAAGCATACTCATTAAATCCTCCCTACCCCCAGGCTGTGGCAACCACTAATCTCCTATTGTCTCCATGAATTTACCTATTCTGGACATGATTCTACTGATATCAAAAGTCCAGAATTTCACATAAAAGTAATTCCACTTATATGAAATGTCCAGACGGTATGTCTGTCTTTATGTCAAGTGAATAGTTTGATTAGTGTAGCTTTGTAGCACGGTTTGAAATTGGAAAGGGTGAATAGTCCAACTTTGTTTTTCTTTTTCAAAATTATTTTTGTTTCAAACTTGTACCATGGGTCCCCTGTAGTGCCACATAAATTTTAGAATCAGTGTTTCCATTTCTACAAAAGAAAAAGGGCCATTGAGCTTTTCATAGAGATTGCACTGGATAGGTAGATCACTTTGGGCACCACTGCTGTCTTAATAATATCAGGTCTTCCACACCATTAACACAGAATGTCATGCCATTCATTTATGTCTCCTTTAATTCTGTTCTGTAGTTTTCAGAGTACAAGTATTACAACTGCTGGGTTAAATTAATCTTAAGTATTTTATTCTTTTTGAAGTTATTGAAAGGTGAATTGAAGCCCTGGCTGAGCAGCAAAGTTGATTAGAGCATCATCCCTATACACCAAGGTTTTCAGTTCCATCCTCATTACACCATCAGTGCACAAATGAGAATTAACCAATGACTGCATAAATGAGTGGAAAAACAAACCAATGTTGATGTTTTTCTCTCTTTCTCTCTCCCCCTCTCAGTTCAGTCAATAAAGAAATTGAATTGTTTTCTTAACTTCTTTTTGGATTGTTCATTGCTAATGTGTGGAAATACAACCGATTTCTGTGTTGATCTTTTATCCTGCAGCTTCACTGAATTTGTTTGCATCTGCCAAGGTGGGGATGGATCGTTTTACTTGTTTCTTTTCAATTTATATGCCTCTTATTCCATTTTTCTTGCCTAGCTATTCTAGCTAGAACTCTCAGGACAATGCTGCTTATAGAATTTTGAATAAAAGTGAAACCAGACGTTCTTGCTGATTCCTGAAACTTAGTGGGAGATAACTTTAAGTCTTACACCACTGAATATATTAACTGTACTTTTTTTCATAAATGCCCTTAATAAGATTGAAGAAGTTATCTTCTATTCCTAGTTTGTTGAATATTTTTATGAAAAAGCATTGGAGTTGGTGAAATTATTTTACTGAAATTGAGATTATCATATTTTTCCTTCATTTTATTGATATGGTATATTATACTGATAGATTTTCATATGTGAAATCCCTGGCACTTCTGGGATAAATCTTACTCTGTCATGGTATATAATCCTTTTGACATTCAGCTGGATTGAGTCTGCAAATATTTTGTTAAGGGAATTTTGCATCTATATTCACAGAAGATTTGGGTCTGTTGTATTCTTTTCTTGTCATATCTTGGTCTGGTTTCTGCATGGGGCAATGTTGGCCACATTGAATGATTTGGTCTCGCTGCTCTTCCCTCCCTCCCCCCAGAAGAGTTTAAGAAGAACTGGTGTTAATTAGTCATTAAATCTTTGGTATACAATTCACTAGGGAAGCTACCTGGTCCAGGGTTTTTCTTTGTCATGGGGTTTTCGAGTACTGATTTATTTTTTTATTTACGTCTTCAGAGTTTTCTCCCCTCTTGAGTCAGTTGTGGTGGTTTGTGTGTTTCCAGGAATTTGTCCATTGAACCTAGTTCATAGTTTTCTCATATCTCCTTTTTTCTCTCTTAAGGTAGATGCTAATATCTCCATTATGCTGTGTTTAAGTCATCTTATCTTTGGTCTAACGTTCGTTTGCTTGCTATAAACCTTTGACTATCTTCCAGAATCCTCCCAATGTCGATTCTCACACTTACTTTTTGGTGTTTCTGTGTAGGGATGGGCCCATGGAGCTTCTTATTCTGCCGATTTCATTGACACCACTTCTATTTTTTCTTTTGTTTTAGCGCAGAATGACAAAATGCCTCTAATATGCCAACTTGCTTTCTCCATACCTCCTCTGTGACTACAACTCAGTGCCCTCTGAGCTGCCTTCCCGCTATCTGGGTACCTGTCCCCACCATTTCTCCAAACCTCTCTAGCTCTAACACTCAGCTAGCTCCCTCAAAATTTCTGCATTGTCCCTCATCATTCTCCAACCCCTCTCCACCGCAGTAACTGCCACCTTTCCACAACCACACACCCACCTACACCCTACCCCTTCTTCTGTTTCGCAGGTTCCTTAGACGCAGTCACTCCTCTCCCCCTTGCTTGCAGGCTCAGATATTGGAGGGGAAACCAGAGGACCGGCTAGTGCTGGGGTAAGGCCCCCAGGGTCTTCAGCAGGACAGAGCGCGTTTCCCGGCCCTCACTGGGACACGTGCTCGCAGGGCCCGTGCTGCGCCACCGAGTGCGCGCAGCCTTGGCAGCCGGCTTCAGGGAGGGGCCGTAAGTGAATTGCGAAACTGGGCTCCGGGAAAGTGCAGACTGAGAAACCTGGTCTGGAGTCGAGTGGAAGGGCGCTGTTTCTGGTTTAAAAAGAAAGTAGAAGAAGAAAAAAGAGACCAGGAAGGTGAAAGAAAGAGAAGCTGCAGGGGCCTTTCCCTCGATAACGATAACGGACGAAACTTCGGAGCCAACCACCCGTAGCAGATTTAAAAAGGCACTGCTGATCTGATGCTCAATTGAAAAAAACTCAGCTTCAGGGGGTCAGCTAGGAGCCCTCGGGCCAGGAGAGCCGGTGTGGGCCCAGTGCGGTCCTCCGTCTAGGGACGGAAACTGGCTGTGGATACCCCGTCCCCGCTGACCCCAGGGCAGCGGGCAGGGCTTCCTGCACCTCTTCCCAGATCTCACAAATCTGACTTAAGCAATAACGTTCAAGTAATAAGCATGAGGGAGAATGTTGCGTGGTCTCTCTCCTAGCTTCTGGGGTTTGTGAGACTCCTCGGCCTTCCTTGGCTTGTAGAGGCCTCACTGCAGTCTCTGGCTCCATTCCATAGGGCATTCTCCGCCGGGTCTCGGTGTTGTCAAATCTCCTTCTCCTTTCTCTTGTAAGTACATTGGTGCATCTGGTAAGTACATTGGAATTAAGGACCACTCTAAATCCAGAATAATCTCATGCTGAGAACCTTCATTTAATTACATCTGCAAAGACTCTATTTTAAAATAAGTTTACATTCATAGTTACTGAGGGTTTGGACTTTGGACATATTGTTTTGGGAGATGCTATTCAACTTACTACACTGCCTAATTCATTGCCTTTTTCCCTAGACCCTGAAGGGTGGGGGAAGGTACACAGGACCAGGGATACATTTTTCAAAGATGAGCCCCAAAATCAAAAGCTCTTGCAATACCAGTCTAAGACATCCAGACTCTCTGGTGAATAAAATTGGAGCACTAATTGGATATGAATTTTTAGAATAAGCCAAAGAAAATAAGGATTTGGCTTTTGTGGCCATCAGAAAAAAAAACAAACTAGACAAGATATCTCCCCCATAAATTGGGATGAAGACACTAACAGAAATTATCTCTTAACAGGACCAGGTGGATAAAAGAAGATAAATCAGCAGACAAGATTAACTCAGACTGGTGTTGAGGAGAAAAGCTGAAGAGAGCGGCTTCTTTCCTCATGCAGAGTGGGGGCTGTCTTCTTCCTGCGCCTTCTAAAGGTGCAATCAGACAGTTACAGAATACAGTCCTGGCTCAATGTCACTGAAGACAATTAGCATTACTTTCTATTTTTCCAATCACTTTTGTAAATGATAAATCTCAATGAATTGTTGCAACTCCCTATAAGGCACTGCTATTCCATCTTTAAAATCAGAAAATAGAGAATCTAAGGGACCACACAATTTGCTGAGGGCATGGAAATCCTCCAGGCCTTCAATAGTGAGTGATACTGAGATTGACTGCACAAGCTTCCTCAACTAACTGCTACTGCTCTACCTATTTTACAAACTAGGAAGCTGAGGCTTTCAGTTGTGCTTTAACTGGGCAAACAACATATATTTAATGAATGGTGGAGTCAGTATTTGATTCTAGTTCTGTCCAGGAGATCATAGACTATGCCCATGAAGGCTGACATTGCTGTAGACTGGATAGTCTAGGTCCTTTGACCACTCTCAAAAAGACAACTGGGATTAAAGCCACCCTGATTCTCATGCCTGTTTTCCTCAATCAGAGAACTCAGTATAAGTAAGTATTCATGATCAGTTTACTCTGCCTCCCTTTCAT